GTGTATCGCTTGTCATTTCTGCAATACAGACTAGACATTCCTGTGACAAAAGCTAGCGCTGCTGAATGGGAGACGGTCCTTAGGACCACGCGACGTCGCGAGCGCGGCATCTGCGAATACCGCGGGCTTGCATTGTAGCGCATGCTTGCGATCAATGAACTCATTGAATTAGATTGTGTTCGCTTCTGTTCGGGCCACGCTCTTCACTCTAGTGGATCTAGTATTGTCATCACCGTTAGATTTTGCTTTATTTGTATTATGACTAGAGTGATTGCATAGCAACTATAAAGCAGGGAAACCCCACAGATTCTGCTCATGGGCTGATTTGGCTTATTAGCTGATCCCTTAGTCATTTAACAGTCGCAGTGCTTTTTGGACAGCATAGTCTCACAGACTGTACTTATTGTCGTTTTGTTGAGGTGTGAGGGACTGTCCTGTTGAAAAAATAGCAGCGAAATGTCACTGTCGCGATAACAAAACCATCGCGAGCGCGCGCCGATCGTAACCATACGGTATTTGCAGTTGTCGCGCGCGACGCCGCGTGGTCCTACCGTCACATAACCCTACAGAATAGAAACATACACATCGATGGCCTTATCTCCTCGATACCAGACGAGTGGAGCTCGTGGTGAGTTCACCTTACAGGTAAGCACCGCCTGTTTTGTTCGGTAGATCTCTTGTGTATTCGGCAACGGATTGAGGAACGAGTACTTCATAGGAGGCTCTGCAACTCATACTTATTCCAGCTCTATATGAAATGAATTCCCTAATAACGCACCTAGAACTGTTAGTATGGCATGGGTTGGCAGTCCATTTGCTTCACAGGTGTATTTGCCAGAATCGTCGACCTCAGGATTGTTGATAATCAATGTGCAGACCGCTTTCTCGATGACGATCTTGTACTTAAGGCCTGAAAACCCTTGTGAATACTTTCTTCCTCAACGGAATGACACTGGCCAGTATGGTTACCTCCGGAGAAGATCTCCTTTCGGTCCTTGTACCAACGGATTTTCGCATTTGGTCGTGAATAAACGCATTTCCATTCTGCGAATTTGTCCACCTGAAGTGACAACCATTCACATGAACTTGTCTCTGATTGATGACTCATTGCTTGGACTAATGAGGACGACTCAGTAGCTACAAGTCTACGAGTACACTTCATAACAACCTTTTTTTCTCATAGCGAATCGCAGAACTGCGTGTGGGCCGCGCGCGGGCACCCATTTCCAACTCTGCTCACTTCAGGCCGCGTTTACACTTCATAAGACGGGCGAATCGTTCGCGCGATTCGGAAGTATAGTCGAAAGCAGGCCTGAGAGGGCGTAAACAAGTAGCACGTTCGGCTACAGTTAGGCGTGTGGCTGGCTGCCAGTGTAGCTGAGTCCAGGGCAGCATTGAACTCGGCTATCACTGATGCACGACATATCGCTGGGAAAATCTTCGCAAAGTACGACCCCTCCTCCCCCCCCCACCCCCGATTTCCTCCTCTATCCCTAGGTTTGACTGCGTCGTGAGCTCAGAAAAGAGAGGTGCAGCCATGTGAAAGAGGAAAACTCGCGAAAGGTTAACACCGGGATGAATTCTTCCAAGTTCACATACGACCATCCTCTCAGTGCGATAAGCAACTACGAACCCCCTTTCCCCTAAAAGGGTCTCCCAATATTGTGGATGGCACGTGTAAAACAGAATCAACTAC